TAAATATGTAATGTTGTGTTGGCACCACTGAATCTGGCGTTTGGAGAGGAGTTCACCTAGTGCCCACCGCTTATCGGACCTCGCTGTGTGTCCTGGCTGGATGTCCCCGCCTTGCCGCCCTTTCAACCTGCCTTCAATCCTACTCCAGCCATCCTCAGCCCCTGCTCTGCCACTCCTTATGCGTTACGTATACGTAAAGCTGTAATCTGTGCTTATAAAATGGCAAATGGCAGGGCTGCAGAGGGTTTTTAATTGTCCGTGCCGGATGGCCAGCCTTAAATGCTTCAAGGAGCGCACACATGGAATGGCCAACGACTTTGTCGAGAATTGCTGGCAGGCAAAAAATAAAAAAATATAGAGAGGAGGACGGAGGACGGAGGAAGGAGCTGAGAAATAACAGGGTTGTGCTTTGGGTTTTTTAATTAAAGCCCTCTCATAACATTATGTTAATGTGTGCGGTTCTCTTTGTCGCCCACGCACCTGGACCACCTGTCAACTCTTTGGCCAACTAATTACTGGTCGAGATTGAAGTGCCAGCTAGAAAGTTGTAAAAAGTAATTGGCTGGCAGTCATTCCACTTGATTTCGACCAACGTTTCTCCTCCTCCTCCGCTCGAATGCAAATTGAGTGGGCTATCAGCAAATGTCGAGTGGTGCTTATAAAACCAACCGAAAACCCAACTAAAGGCTGCTGGCCTGGCCAACATCGTGGCCCACCTGTTTTGGCCCTGCCGTGTGTCGTTCTGCCCTTTTCGGACGCTCTCTGATGTCGGCAGATTTAGCGCACGTAGCACATTTTAATAATGTCGGCAATTGTCATATTTGTGCACCCAAAGCGGTTGTCTCTGCAACGGATCTCGCCGCAATACGCGATCTGACGCTCTACCCAAAATTTCAGCAATTATTTTTGGCCAATATTGCCAGACAGAGGTCGCAATTACAAGCTATGAAACTGTATTTGCTAGATAGATGGTGGTTTGCAATGAAAAATAAGGAAAAGCCATGCTACTGTACATTTTACGGCTAGGAAAAACATTTTAACATTTTTTTCCCAGTCATACTCAAGAACTCTGATTCAGGAAATTTTAATTAGAGGTATCAGTCTCTTAATAATAAACACAAATTTTCCCTTTCCAGTTTACAGATTTTACTTTAATATTATACACATTAATAAGTATAGGTATATAATATAAAAACAAGAAGGAAAGCAAACTTCGGCAAGCCGAAGTTCATATACCCTTGCAGCTACAAGTATTGCAGGAACTAAACATTTTCGAAAACATTAAAATTATTCGTTTTAACCCATATTTTTCGTTAAAAATTACATAACTCTGCATCCATTGTATTGTTGATAAGCCTTTCCCATTCTGAATCTAACCACTCCCAGGACATTAATCCAGTACTCCCTGACGAATTCATTTTTATTGGCAATTTTTTTGTGCACTTCCCCGCGTTCCGCTCTCCTAAAGCCTGTCATATCAATTGTCAATTTTAATTGCCGGCAGTTGTCATAACTCGGTTGTTAATTTTACATCTTTTTGGACCCAGAGAGCTGTCACTTGATAGCGCCCACGACACATTTTGTGTTTTTTTGTTGTCTCTACTTTTTGTCTGGTTGCTTGCTTTTTTATGGTTACATAACAGAAAGCTTCGGCTTGGACGAGGCCGTGGCCATATTCGATGATGAGTCTGGCTGCTTAATATGCAACTAGCGGCCATATTGAATCATCTGAGAGGCCGGCCGCCCGGGGTTTCTGTCATTAATGAGTTTGCAGCTGTGCAGAGAAAACAAAACCGGGTAATGTCGATCTAAAGTGTTGAACCATTTTGTTATTTGGAGATAATTGATGAACAAATCTTAGAAAAAGTCGTAGGAAAAAACTAACAGCACATTTCAATGGTTTTATAATTTATAATTAAAATATGCTATAACTAAGCTCTTGCCAATTTGTGACTTTAAATAAAAACAAAAATTAAAATAAATGCATATTGATGTTTTATGTTTTTGGTTTTAATTGCATCTCAATTGTTTAAATTAAATTAAATATACTTTAAGTCCATTTTCAGTTAATTTTTATTTTTGCAAGTGGGAATTAGAGCTGGGGAATCGTTCATGCTGATAAGGTTGAGTCACAGTCACGTAGATATGATTTGAAAGAAATCATACATTAAATCGCCGGACTGGACGACGGCACGTTTAATTGCGGCCGATAAGGTGTTCCGCGGAATCCCCTGGCTGCGATACACACTGACATGGCCATTTCCATTACCATGCCCCCTCCCCTTAGGCCAGTACCATCCCCAGTCGCAATTAGTCAAACGAATTTGTAGCGCCCAGCTGAGGAATTAATCAGAAGTCGTCGCCGTTCACTGCTCGCATTTAAAATGCAAAATGCGTGCGCTAAATTACGGCGAACTGTGAGCCACAAAAGCCTAGGCATTTTTCAGCATGTAAAGAGCCGGCTCCTTTGTGGCCAAAGAAGTTGGCCCCATCCACCATCCACCATCACCATCCCGATCCCGATCCCCATCCCCATCCCGATTCCAAGTCCAGAGCCAAAGCCAAAGCCAAGTCCAAGTGTCGTTCGCTGGCAGATGATGATGACTCGTTTTGGCGTCGTGCTCGCTGGCGCGTCCACATTTGAATACTAATTGCATTTGGCCCGGCTCATAGTCGTCGTCGTCGACTATGCCAATCTCTTTTTTCCCGGGCTTGCGGTAAATATGATAAACAACAAAGCGCGTCATTTTGACATTTGCCTGTTTAATGCGCCCACGTTGCCACCACACCGCCTTGGAGTCTGAGATCTTAAACTCCCACGATTCACGGCCCCCATCGCCATCCTCAGTCCTCAGTGCTCATCTGCAGCTCAGGCTGAGGCACAGGCTGAGGCACAGGCTCACAGCCAGTTCCTCGGTAATCGCAAATAGATATGCGGCTCAGATAATGATCGTCTTTTCGGTTGGCTTGCTTTGAACTTAAATGGGTTTTGTCTCCGTGCTGCTGCTTCTGCCGCCTTTTTGCCTGTCTGCGGCTTTGGCCCGGCAAATTTGCCATGTGTTGGCCAAAAGGTTGGGGCCTGTGCATTTTTGAGTGGCAGTTTTGCCTTTACAACGATGCTCGAGTGTCGCGTTTTTGTGTGGCATAGCAATCTATAACCCTGTTTGGGCTGACTAAGGCCCTTGTTAATCACTAAAATTAGTCATATCCGCAAATGGGATGCCTTTTTACTTATTTAAGAAGATGATGGATTTTGACAGGATAAATATGAAATATTTAAATTTGTTCCTTGATTTAAATGTTAATGTTGATGGTTAAGTGCTAGAAATAATGCAATTTAATATTAATCAATTTGTTTCATAGCTTAAGCAACATATGCTTTGATGCTGAATATAACGCTTTAATAAATACCGATTCGCAACTACCTTTAAAGTGAAGTGGCCTGAATATATAAATTTACAAGTGCAACCACTAAACCTTTGCTAGGTTTTCAGTTAAATTACAATTACAATCAATTTTAAGCGCCCAGCCGAGGAAGGTAAGGTTAAATGAAATAGTTTTGGTATCATTTAATATTATACATTTGATTTAAAATCCCCGTATGCTTTTGTCTTATTTTCGCACTAAGGCAATTAACTTTTATGGCATTCTTTCACCGCCTTTTGTCGCCTGTTGCTCTTTAATGACCACCTGAATATCTACAAATTGCTTACAGTGGATGGAAGCGGTGTAGGAGGAGCATTGGGGGATCCTCTGGAACCGACCACAATGAATAATCATCGAGTGACTACAGTGGAGCCGCTGTGGCCATTCATTTGGCCACATCTCACAACATCAGCGGGCGGCTTTGGGGAGCTACAAAAATGCCCGGTAATTATCACTGAGACACGCCGCCGCTGATTAAGTATGCGACACCGCCAGTCGGTCCAGAGATGCGAATGCGAATGCGAATGGCAGTGCGTTCCACTGGCCACTCTTCTCGAATTCTGACAGTTTTCGTACGGCTGACATGACAAGCTGCCAGCGCCGATGACGCTAAAAACTTGGCCCATTCTGGACATCAGTTTGAGCCTCAGTCTCAGTCGGATTTCGAGCTGCAACTGCAGCTCCGGGCTGAGTGGCGATGGAACGTCGAAGGATGCCGATTCATGTTGCCAAGTGCCGACAACTGACGTCCTAATGCACTGAAATCAATGTTGAGTATAAGAAAAGAAGAACCTAAACTCTTTCCCTTCATATCTATTTACCAAATATGATACATTAATCCAATAAAAATATATTTTTTATGGAAAGTAAAATATACTTCTTTTATTGAAATAAAAACTTATACATATAACATTATCTGAAAGCTTATAAAATACCATAATTTATAAGCATCTTTAATTTTTGGTTTGCTTTGAATACTAAAGTTATAAATAAACTAAGCGAAAAAAGAAAACATTTTGAGACCTGGAAAATTATAATAATCTTTTCAGAAAGAATCACTCTTATGAGAAAATTATTATTGAAGATTTTTGTACAGTACCATTGGTAAGAATTTTTTGTTATATAAAGAAACGAGGATATATTTATTCTAATCAGATTTAAAGATGTATTTTTCAGTTTGTTAATTTATGTAAGTTTTTTAATTAATTTACCAAAAGAAGAAAAGTAACACTATTGTTTAAAATATTTTATGGGTTACTATCAAGTAAGGTCTAAGCTATTTTTTCGCGTGGAAAAGGGAATGAGAGCGTGAGCCAAGAGCCGCATACAAATGAGGCGTACCCAATGTTGACAATGAATATTAACCTTGAGTGGTGCTCCAGCCGGTTTTTGCCCAGCCAAGGTCATCCCATGCCAACCCATTACATCCCGTCCATCGAGTCCAGAGGATGTGGATATGGTGTGATGAGATGGTTGCCGATAATTGCCATGGGCATCGACTGGAGTCGACCTAATGGAATCGCTGTGAGTGTCATTCGGGCTGATGTGTGTAATCGATTCTGCCGCTGAGTTGGTTTTATTAAATGAAATGCCTAAATGCCATTTATTCGATTTTAAATTTCTTACACAACGAAAGAATGATGAACTGTACAAGCTACATATGCTACAAGCTACTACTCTCGACCTTCGTACTCCAGACTTCAAGAGACGGATGAGGGTTGTTCCAGACTAAGAGCCTCGGGTGAGGCAGCAGTTGACTTAAGAGGTGTAATTTGGTTGGGAGAAACAGTTCCCACATCCTAATCGAATGGGACTGGGCAATTTCAATGCTCTCAAGTGCTATATCGATTGGGTTCACATGCGAAGTTTGCATTCCCAGTCGTTTAGGCATTGCCAGTTAGCTATTTGGCTGGTTTGCACCTCGACATTAAGGCAGCCGAACTGGATTCAGAGTGCTAACCCAGTTTTAATAATCACGAAGTGGAAGTTACTTCGCGGTAATTACCTTTTGCATTCGCTAGATTTTTCAATTTTTTTCGCCTCTTGTTTGCGGCACGAACGGCAGTTCGCGCGCTGACTGACATATCGCATCGCATAAATCGCAGCCAAAGTCGAAATTTAATAATTTTCGAGCCCAGGCAGCAGGCAGCAGGCAACATTAGCAGTGTGACTCTGGCTGGGCTTGAAAATTATGAATTGCGATTTGTTACACTGCGCGCCAAAAAGGTCTATTGCTGCGCCTTCTTCTTGCGACCGAAATTCTCTCCGTCCTCGAGGGTTTCCGGCAGCGTAGCACCTCTCGTCTCCGGCAGGAAGATAGTTCCAACAATGGCCAGGATGGAGAACAAGCCGAAGATGAGGGGCGCGATCCAGAGGCCGTAAAGGTCCAAATCGCAGATCAGCGGGGCCACAATGGAGCCCACCCGGCCGATCATGGAGCAGAGACCCACTCCGTTCGACCGGACGACCGTGGGGAAGAGCTCTCCGCTGTACAGATAGATGTTCGGGAAGGTGACCGACGCTCCAAAGAGCGCAACGGTGGCGCAGGCCACCCTGATTATCTCGGCCTGGCCGAAGAGGCCGACCAGGAGGAGCAGCCCTGTGGCACTCAGACTGTGCGAGAGCAGAAGCGTCCGCTTGCGGCCCAGGAACTTGGTCATGGGCACACAGAGGCAGGTGCCCGGAACACCCACGATGGCCGCGATCAGGTTGCTCACGAAGATGTTGCCGCCCAGCTTGGAGACGTACTGGGCGGTGCCGTAGTAGACCATGCAGACCACCATCCAGTTGTTGGCCATGCAGATGGTCTTCAAGCGGAGATAGGGCGTCCGGAAGAGGTCCAGCACGGTGCCCTTCTTGACCGGCTGGCGGGCGGCCAGGGCCGCGTAGGCCGCCTCGATCTCCGGACGGATCGTGTCCGTCGGCGCCTTGTTCCACTTGGCGATCTTCTCCAGAATCTTGATCGACTTGTCCAGCTTGCCGGTGGTGAAGAGCCAGCGCGGCGACTCCGGCACCAGACAGATGTAGATCACGAACACGACCGAGAAGATCGTGATGCTGAACTGGAACCAGCGCCACTCCCGGATGAAGTAGGCGAACACGGCCAGGGAGACGTGGCCGAGGTTGAAGGGTATCTGGTACAAAATGGCGACTATTTCGCGCTTCCCGGGCCCCACGATCTCCATGAGCAAGACGAAGCTGCGGGAGAGACCCATTAGGTGGACACTCAAGGGCGATCTATGAGACGGTAGCCTCCAACCCACCTGGCGGTCATCGTGCCAGCCGTGGCAAAAGCCACCAGGAATCGGAAGAGGCAGTAGAACCAGAAGTAGGGCGATACGCAGACAATCAGGCCAGTGATCAATTGCATGAAGCAGGCAACCAGAAAAGCGGGACGTCTTCCAAAACTGGGGGTTACAAATCAAAAGACTCCATATTAAGGTTGTTTTAGGACGTAGTGTTGAATTTTTTATACGGTTGTCGAATTGCTAGCTTCTTTAAAAAATTGGACTTTTACAGAATCTTACATGAAAAATAACTTTATTTTTAATTCTCTTCACAAAGTTTTAAGAATTCCGAGAATTTGGAAAACAAATCAAATTCATTAAAATCTTATTATTCTTTTGAAAATAAAATCATAAATAATTTTTATTTACACTGCCTATTTAAAACAGGAAGAATGTTAAATTAATTTAAATAATTCCTAACTCTTAACGCGAAAGTCAGCAAAGAGCCGACTGTCAAAAACGGACAAATATTAATAGCCGATTAAAATAATATACTTACCGATCCGCGAACATGCCGAAACACAAGCTGCCAAGGAGGATACCCAGCATAACGATGGACTGGGACAAACTGGCCAGCTGTTTGAGGTCGCACGTGAGATCCCACTCGTTGATGATGGTTGATTTGAAGACGCTGGTATCGAACTCGGTCTCCGCGCACTCATCGCTGCAGGGATCCGTGACATTGGCCGTCAGGCAGGATTGGGGCGTGGGGGCGGCCAGGAAGATGTGGCCCAGGGTGTGCCAGCCGGTGCCGAACTTGCACAGTATGATGATGAAGAAGAAGAACAGCTGGTAGCGCCGGAAGTCGCCGATCTGCGAGATTATCGGATCCGCAGTCTTCGTCACGGGCTTCAGCGGCTTCACTGGTTTGTCGGCCATGGCGTTTAGAAACTGAAAAATTTGAGGTTGCCAAACTATAGAAATGTAACATCTGATTTTTGAAAATAAACTTCATATGATTTTTTTTTTTTTTCCAGTGTGTTGGCCTACTGAGCTGACTGGTTTCCTAGTGGGTGGACTTTCTCAAATATTTACCGGGCTCCAGCGCAAATTGGACTTATCGAGCGGTGCGGCTCTGTGCAGACTGGCGTGAAAATATGGAACCCGGGCAGATAGAGATTTCATTTGCAAGCCAACCGGCCACCGCTAACCGGTTTTCGCCAAGAGAGAGCTTTACAGATTCGATTCGGAGTCGGAGTCGGTGGTAGAGGGACAAGTCGGGGGGAAAACGGGGGAAATGGGTGTAGAAGTAGAAGTCGGGGGCATTAGCACCACGACCACGGGATGCACCGCCAAAATGGCATTTGGAAATAGGAGTACGGCCTCCATCGCCGCTGCAGTTTGTCAGCCAAAAGGCCAAGCGACTGGGGCTAAACTTTTACTCTTTAAGTAGGTAAATGAAGTCGGCTGCCTGGTTAATTGGAGGTAGGTGCGCCCGGGGATCTAGTTGCCAGATTAAGCCATTGTCTGCCGGCAGATAACCGCGAGTCCCAGTCACCCATTAAGATGGCTTAATTAAGGAAGCACTGCCTCAGTGAAAGTTGGCCGGAGAGAGGCAGAGGCTGAGAGGCCTGAGATTTCTGGTCGCAGATTCAGCTTCGAGTTCCCACGGCAACGACAACCTGTCTGGCGGAGCATTTTGCGCAATCGTCAGTGGCTCTGGCTCTGGCTTTGGCAAAATGTCACAGTGCAAATAAATTATATATGCAAATTGGATGGCCAATCAATAAAAATGAACCATTCAGAAAACGCTTGCGTTATAATACGATCGCCACATGGTAAATCTGGCAAGACACTTGGGAATGAAAAAATCTTTGGCAATGCCTTTGTTTGGACTCTAAATTACAATTCAATCGTCTGCGGACCAAATATACTCTTTATGCTAAGCGTATTATAATATATTTTGTCAGTATCCAAACTATTGTTCATTTTCGCGACGTTTTACATTCTCTTATTTTTATTATGAAACTCTTACCTAATAGTCCTGGCCATATATTTGAATATATACAATATTTATAAATAACGATGGGAATAATCCGGGGGCTTGTCTGGGGCCAAAGTACTATAATTCACCGATTCAGTTGATAATTCTCTGTAGAATTCTCGAACTTTTCGAGCCACGTCTGAAGAGCTTCAATGCTCCACATTCAATGGCAGCTGCATCTCGTCTCGTCGGCGGAGAAAACTCAAACAACTGAGATGATAAAGTCGTGTGTACTTTAATCCCAGATGATAAGAGGTGTTCGACAATATGACAAACAAAGCTAAATGCCCTGAACTTGTGTCCATGCGAGATAAAAAACGTAGAGAACATTATCTCACCTCAGGTAAGCCTTTCCGCAAATGTTATTCACATAATTGCTTCTGTAGTCAAAAATACAACTTATAAATAAGTGTTTTTCCGCTAATTAATGGAGACGTCTGATCTTGATTTGATAGTAGAAATCAATAAAATCAAAACATAATCTAGCAGTGTTCATCAGTAAACCACGCGCTTATCAACTCGATAGTGTTTGGAATTCGCATGATATTCGAAAACAAAACAACAATAATGAGGAGTTGATTTATTTGTCTGATGGCGAGTCGATAATTGCGTTTAATGTTGCTAAACTGTTAAGCATTTAACAATTTGCTTTAAATAATTAATATCTGATGATAATAAATTGGATAAAAACAGCATTCAACTCTTTCATGATCAACTTTAAAATCTGTATAACAAAACGATAACAAACTAATTAAGTGTTAAAATGTTATTTTATCAAGTCCGAAAATAGTCTCTATTTTATACTTATTTGTTTGTTTATGTTTTGCCACCACGGTTTATAGTCTAAATTAGCTAGAAAAACAAATTCCCGGATATAAAATTAAGACCTTAAAGCAGTACTGTTTTCGGTCCCTTGTTTTTAAATTGCAAATAGTCAAATCCCAAAAAAAGGTTTAAATAGTAATTATAATTAAATCGGAAGGTTTTTAGTTAATTAAATTATTATTTAAACTATTATTTTGAGTAGTAAAATCGAAATGATTTTAGGCCTTTCAAATATTCCAAGTAAATGCCAATAAATCCCGTTTAACTTTATTTAACATATAAAAGCATGCAAAATTCCGAATATTTCGGCAGGTCGAAAATAAAGCGAATCAATGCCAAACCGATCCGCCATGCAGCCACATAACTAAATCCAATTAAAGAGCTCCATTTAATATTTACATTTGGTTCCCTGGCAAGTGGTCTAAGCCGATTTCAGGGTCCTGAATGGGCCACCAACCCAGCGGACTGTTTAGGCCAGATATTTGCAGTAACAGTGCGATGGAGTGGGTATTTATGGCCCGGCAACGCTCCAATTAGCACACAAAAGGATTACAGGGGAAATGCCAAAATTCTGGTGCATTCGGCATTCGGCACTTGGCACTTGGCAAGGCCAACAAATGTTTGGACCGGCTTTGGAGCGCTTTGCGGTTTTTCCTCCATAATTGCTGGCCAGGACTGAAGTGGACAGTGGTCGAGTGGTCGAATGGCCCTGGCCACGGGATTGCGAGGAATCCACTTGAGAGCCAGCGAGCAAATCAAGCAGCAGGCATTTAATTTCAACTACCTTCTACATCCCCGCTCCGCCCCGCCCCACCTCCGCCCCTGCCTACGATTCACCAGGGCGCAATCAAAATATTTTATAGGTTGGCCATAAAGAAATTCATAAGGCGAACAGCAGCCACAGCAGCAACTGCAACTCTGCCAATTCATACGAAAATTGCTAACTCAGCGCTCACATATATCATTTTTATGCGCGACCACGCCCCTTTCAGCTCGTAGTAAATTGACAAATGCAGCGGGCCAAGTCTGTGAGATGTCTTTGCCACTATTTAAGGTCTTTCACGAGGGGATTGGAGGGCGGCGGAGGTGGAGCTGGAGCCGCTGGATGATGCGCGCTGGGAGCATCGAAATGAAAAAGCGCACCGAAAACTATGAGCAACGCTTAGCGAAATGAAAGTGCTTGTAATATGTAGTTAAAATCCAAGTAAGGCGATTACAGCAGAAGCAAAGGCGACTAAACAATGCTCTGTCGCCGTAGTTTCCCTTCTAGTTTGCTTAAAACCTAATTTAATGAAATTCCAACGCAACGCACAGTTTATATATTAGAAAAAACATTACGAGGTAGAGAAATTTTACTGTATTTAACAACTTACCGGTGCAAAAATTCGCTCTCTTTTTGGATCAACACTTCACACCTGTCAACTGTTCGTTTTCAACTGAAAAAAATCAATAAACTGACCATACTTTATAGAAGGAAAAATGGCTAAACCACTCTCGAAGCAATAACACACCTTAAACTACCTGTTTATCGAGCAATTAGCTACCTGTTCAGAAAAACGTATACAAATACATTTGTTTTAAAGTGTTTTAGTTTTATATCGAAGACAATCGCGACAGTCTGTTTTTTAATGCAACATTTCAAATGAAATTAAATTTAACTATATAAGATACCAATAAACCTGCATAATGTAAGTAAATTTTTTTAAGCCTAGACAAAAGCACCCATTTGAAGAGCATAATTATTAGGTATAAAGCTATTTTATGTACCAATATAAAGTACACAATTCTAACTAAGTTATTGTCCATTGGGTTCACCATTTAGCAGTGCCAGATGAAAGTGTATGCAATACGAGGAGACGCAGCTAGAAACAAAGCGCCGCATCAACGCTTTTGGCCCTGGTTGCCTTGGCTTTTTACCCCGGCCTCTGCTGTCGCCCTATTCCTCTGCAAATCCTCTTTGATTAAGTGCTCAGTCTTTTATGTGGAGATTTTTTAATCGTTACCTCGTCCTCCCGGCCAAGGGGGCAATGTAGTGAAGGGGCAGCGAGGTCCGATGTCCGAGGACCGGAGTCCGAAGGGCGTGCATGTGACCATGCCCCGTAGATTAATCGCTAATCTGTCCCTAGAGGGCGTACTGACATTTTTAAAAACTGCGCACAGCTCAGCGGAGCCAAGGAAGCTGGTGGCTCATGGCTGTCTACTTCATCCCGGGCCATTTGGAGATGTCTTTGGTTTTTATTGTCGGAGGGCACTTGGACTTCCATCATTGCCGTTTACGGGGATCCTTGAGGACTCTAGTGTGCTCGGTCTGCGATTCGCACCTCTTTTTCAGTACCTTTTGGCGTCCCTTTTTGGCTTTATAAATAAATTAATAAATTTAAGCCGGCATTAATTATTATGCTGCTTGGCCGCACGGCAGATTAATGTTTTAATTTCGCTAGCCTAGGCTTCGATTAATTTATGCGCGCCCCGTTTGCAATTTGTGCGCCGTTTTTTGAGTAATTTCGCCTGGCCGGGGGCGATAAAGTGCATTAACATGGAATGCGGCTGCCGCTGCGGGCAGCTAAAATTGTTAATTTCGAAGCATAATAAAACGCGGCCATACGTTGCAGTTAAGCCGGGCCCCTTTCAATTTGCACTAGACGGACGTCCTAATGTGTGTCACATAAATCAGCGGACGGCCAGGTCTTCGAGCTCATCCTCTGTGGTTTCCCATTTCGGTGGTTTTCCCTTGGCCAGGGACTAATCCCAGAAGCTGGTGGGAATGATGATGAGCGGCCTGCCAACACTTCCCAAATTGATGAGTCAGCTGCTCCAAGTCTTTCTTGTTTGCTTCTGAAAGTATCCTTATTTATCTCCAATTAAGTTGCTCACTTAAGTCATTTATACGAAAATCACCTCCACAAAGATCGTTAAATGTGCTTATTTTAGGTTGCCCATTAAAGCAATTAAGGTTTATTATTAGGTTGTCTTGTTAGGCCGAGATTTTGCGTCAATTGGGTCAAAGAGTCAAGAACTACGCTTGAAAAAATGTTATAGGTACTGAAAATGATACAAAAAAGTGGGACCTAAAAAGAACAATCAGGTAAAATAGGGTAGGTTTTTTAAAACTTACAGATTCCTAAAAAGCTTTAGACAAAAAATTTGCATTGACTTTAAAATATTAACACTTTCAAATTTCTCAATTAAAACTAAATTAAGCAATCAGTAATTTTAAGAGATCATAATTTAATAATGTGAGTTTAATATTAGGTTTTTTCACTGCAGGCTTTGTCTTAAAGGGCTCTAATCAATTTGCTGGGCAGCGGCTTGAGCGGCCCTTATGTTACCTGATTTACGCGTGACGGGCACGCAAATCGAGGCGTGTAATTTCCGCCGCCGACAGCCGTTCTCACCGCAGCCTGTCCGTCAGCTGGGCAGCTGTCATAATACCGCTCCGCAGCCCACGACGCTCCGCAACCCACTGTAAGCCACGAACCTTGATTACCAACTCGCGGGGCTGTGGCAACCGCTTCGACTCGGATGGCAGTAGACCAGAAGGTAAATAAGCCCCTTGTCAGGGCCACTGCCTTATGCATAATTAGCTTTTGCCGAGCGCAACATTGGATCCGTGCAAATGTTGCAAACTTTTAATTTATGCCTAGGACGGAGGGACGGAACTGCTGCCTGGCCTCATCGGTTATAGTTTGCCGTTCAGTTTGCACTACATACTGCATAAGCAAACATATTTTAATTTGAGGTTGTGTTTACACGCTGCTCGGTGCCACGCTTCAAGTCACACAACACGGCAGCCGGAATTGCAGCAACAGTAACAATAATAAGAACAGGACCTAGGACAACAGGAATAACAGCATCAGCAAGTCCTCCCTACACCCGGCTACAAAACTTCCGTAACTAAATTCATGGCCATCAAATGAGTTTGTTCAAATTCAAGCTATACACAAAAAACTAGCAAAAGTTTCAGGTGTTCAAAAAACTGGCTTAAAACATTTTACAGCAATTAAGTTATATTACTAAGAAATACTAGTTTGTATGGCTCTATAACACCCAGAGAAAAATCATGGTTTATACAAATATTTTCATGTTTTTAGTTTATGTTACAAATATTTTAATGTTTCATTTTACTAAAAGGTTTAATATTATATCAATGATAATATCTGCATTGTTTTTTTAACTGTTACTACAACTGATTAAAAAATTCTTTACTATATTAACGATACTTCTTTATTCTGTTTGTAAAATAATCACTTCGCATTTCGATGTTTAATTTAAATTATAAATGTAATCATTATTAAGATACATTGCAATTTTCTAAACCTTTT